CACCGCCTGATCCCCTCACCGCCTGATCCCCTCACCGCCTGATCCCCTCACCGCCTGATCCCCTCACCGCCTGATCCCCTCACCGCCTGATCCCCTCACCGCCTGATCCCCTCACCGCCTGATCCGCTCACCGCCTGATCCCCTCACCGCCTGATCCCCTCACCGCCTGATCCGCTCACCGCCTGATCCCCTCACCGCCTGATCCGCTCACCGCCTGATCCCCTCACCGCCTGATCCGCTCACCGCCTGATCCCCTCACCGCCTGATCCCCTCACCGCCTGATCCCCTCACCGCCTGATCCGCTCATCATTTGTTCGCAGGTACCTGGGTCGGGGGTGAGGGCCGTGTGCCGCCTCCGAGGCCGCGCCTTCCACGTAGCCTTCGGCTCCAGAGACTTTGCGGAGCAGGCACTGGCGGACGCCGTCAGGGCCGCAGCGGCGACGGAGGCGGAGGCAGCGGCACAGACCGCCGTATCGCGGCTGCGGGCCGTACTCGCGCGCAGCGATGTCGGCGGCGACCGAGTAGGCGGTGCCGCTGGGGAAGCAGCAGCGGCTGCGGCGGTCAAGGCGATCAGCTTGCTGGTGGTGACGCCGCTGGCGGCGCCTACGTCAATGGCCGATGGGTCGGTTGCCGCTGGGGTAGGTTTGACTCCCGGTGGCGGCGGCGGCGGCGGCGGCGGCACTGCCGTAGGCGACCCGCGGGTTGCGCTGTTCTGCTTTGAGGACGTGGTGCGGCCCGGCGTGCGTGAGGCCGTAGCGGCGCTGCAGAATGGCAGCTGGCGGCGACGACGTGGGGAGCGTGTCGGAGCTGATGAGGCGGCGCCGCCGCCGCCGTCGGGGGCAACGGCGGCACTGCGTGTGGTGATGTTAACGGGTGCGTGGGGGGGGGTTCTTTCTGTGTGTGGGTGCTGGTTGGTGGTAGGGACAATGCAGCGCTATCAAAATTAGCGAAAAACGGGTAATATATTATATATATATATACATATATATAAAGTTGACTCGGTGGTGGTGGTCAGTTCATTCATTCGTTGATACCCACGTTGATACCCATTTCCATCAGGCGCAACGTACCCCCAAGCTACGAGCTGACTCCCGGGTCACTTGAACGACCCCCGGGTATATATATGCGCTCTCCGGGTATAATGCCTTCACGGTTGGTCTGTACGGCAATACTCAACCAGGCCGCCTGTGCAGCATGCGCCACTGAGTCATCATAGATCACCCATGGTAACATTATCACAGTACGACTTCATGTGCTGTGCACATACCCTCTGCATTGCTTCTCCTCCAAACCCGCCTCCAAACCCCCCTCGTGCAGGTGACAACCCCGCCGTGGCCGCCTCCGTGGCCGGAGGTCTGGCAATCTCCGAGTACCGGGCTGCCATGTTGCCGCAAGATAAGCTGCAGTTCGTGCAGCAGGAGCAGCGGCATCTGAGGGAACTGCAGCAGCGGAGGGAGGAGGCGGAAGCAGGTGGCACGTGGGGGAGCGGGTCGGGTGTGGAGGCGGGGAGAGAGAGAGTGTGTGTATGTGTGTATGTATAGGTGTGGCCGGGGATGTTGGGGCCCTCAGGACCGAGCTTGCTATCGCCGAAGGGGGCCCCCGGGCAGGGCCCTCTCGCTCCTCTTCCCTCACATACATACATACAGACAGGCAGGCAGACAGACATATATACAAACAGACAGGCAGACAGACAGGCATGCAGACCTGCATACAGCTCAGGTCAGGGGTCCAAAACCAGCTGTACATCCATAATTGCTTGCTTACCTTGATTGGTGAGTGCTTGCTTGGGGGAATGGCGTCCAGCGCCCCTTGCCGCTCTCTCACCATCGCCCCTTTTCGGCCCTCGCCCTCTTCCTTCGCCCTTTTTCCTTCCTTCCTTCATGCATCCTCACCACCACTACTGCTACTGCCTCCTCCCACCAACACCACCAACACCACCGCGCTGCATCATCACACCCGTCCCTCCCCCAGAAAAAGGTCGGAGTCCCCTGACCGCCCTTCTCTTCGGAAGAGCCGAAGGTCCTGGCAGTATCAGCAGCAGCAGCAGCCCTGCCGGCGCCGGCGCCGGCGGTGGCGCGGTGTTGATGATGGGTGACGGCATCAACGACGCGCCCGCACTTGCCGCGGCCCATGTGGGAGTCGCCGTGGCCTCCTCCCCCCGGGACCTGGTGGCGGCCGCCTCCGATGTGGTCGTGCTGAACGGCCAGGGGGCGGCGGCGCTGCCCTGGCTGCTGCGGCTGGCGCACCGCACGCGGGCGGTGGTACATCAGAACCTCACCCTGGCCCTGGCGTCCATGGTCTTCGCCACCCTCCCCACAGTAGCTGGGTTTTTCCCGCTCTGGCTTGCCGTACTGCTGCACGAGGGATCCACGCTGGCTGTAGCGCTCAACAGCTTGAGACTGCTACTCCCGGAGGGGGCAGAAGGGCCGGGAACAGGGCCGGAGGTGGGAGCGGCGGCGGTGGCGGCGGCGGCGGCGGGGACTGGTGCTGTCGTTGGCGGCGTTAAATTCGGCCCCCGGGCGGCGCTTGCGGAGGTGTGGCGGGGGCTGTGTGACCTAGCGGCTCCGGAACCGCATAACCACAACCACCATCATCACCATGGTCATCATCACCATGATCATCACCACCATGATCATCACCATGATCATGATCATGACCACGGGCCTAGTTACAGCAGCAATGGTGGCAAGGCGCAGGTGCGGGCGTGCTGCGGTGGAGCCCACCAAGGTCAAGCCCAGCACCGAGGCCAAGACCGAGGTCACGGCCATCACAACAACCATCACAGTGATTGTCATCACAACCACGACCACCATCACGACCATCACCACGGCCACCACCACGAACATCACCACGAACACGAGGGCGGCGGTGATCACGACCACGAGCACGGTAGTGGCAACGACCGCAAGCGCTCGGAGGTGGTGGCGATGGAGGCTCCTCCAGGGGGCCCACAGGGCCATCAGGCCAAGCCTCATCAGGCGCAACAGCGATCATCTGACCAAGTGGAGGAGGAGGAGGGGGAGGAGGCGGGGAAAGCAGCGGACGGGAACGGAGGGGCGGCGAGAGGTCCGGTACATGTCCGGGGACCCGTGGGTCGCGATGTCTCCACAGCCGCCTCTGCCGCAGCGGCGGCGGAGCCGGCGCCGGCAATCCAGGCCCCTCATGCGCGTGGTCATGCACGGCATTGCGGCGGCGGCGGCGGTGGCGGCAACACCAGATCCTGCTGTACTGTTTGGGGCTGCATTAGCGGTCCCGGCGCCGCCGCCAATGCCGTCAATCGCCGCCGGTATGGCGTCAGCAGCCGTCTAGGGCCGCTGCTGGCGTTGGGCGACGGTGTTGGTGTCGGTTTTCTCCCTTCTGGTGGTTGCGCTGCTGCTGTAGGGTCCTTGGACGCGGGGGGAGCTCTCCGCCGGCGGCGCCGGGTATCTGGTCTTGTAGGGCCCGGTGTACGTGTTGGTGTTGGCGTCGTCGCGGCGGCTGCCCCAACCGCGGCGGCTGCTACGGCGGCGGCGGCGGCGGCGCTCAGGTCTGATACTGGGGACCGTGTGGCGCTCTGAGCGCACTCAGAGTGTACTCCAGCCTTGTGTGTTGCTGCGTCGAGATGAGATGTCGCGCCGTGGGGTATGATAACCCCCGTGGGGAGCTGTACCGTATGCACATACATACATACAGACATGCATACATACATATACACACTCACTCGCACACGCGCACGCACACGAACGCACGTATTTTAGCTACCCGTCGCATAGATGATGGTGCGATCCCATACTGCTTTGCACGTACACGAAAATGAGTGGGTTCCGGAGCTCTGTAGAACCAGTGTGTATGCATTTGTTTTGGGTGGGAAGGTAAACCATGCGATGATGGTGCAGGAAGAAGCAAAATAATGTCAACTGACTTGATGCGGAAAGCGCGCCCTTACTGTGCTCTGGGGTTCCGTGGTTGAGACACCTTTTGTTTCTCTGCGGCATCCCCTCTCCCGCCTCCTTGGCGGTGTCGTGTCACTAACGGTGCAGCCTTTGTAAAACAGGATTTGATTATATTTCTGAATTCAGGCTCCTCTCCCAAAGTCGGGACGTGCTTTGGCCGCGGCCTGAGGCAAGGATGAGGAGGTGGGTTGCTGGTGGTGTTTATGGTGGTGGCGGCGGCAGCGATGTGACCAGATCTGTGGTTCTGTAGAGGGGCCGGCTGGCTGTCGTATATTGGTCGAAGACTCGACGACAGGCTGTTTCCCTTGCTAAGGTTTGTGAGGTAGGTGCGTGGCGTGTTGTTTCCCGCGTCGCATTGTTTTTCATCTGGGTTGATAAGGCCTTGAGGAAGAATGGAGCTCAGGTTGGTAATGTAATCTGTTCGTTGGCTGGTGAATTGGTTGGCGGAATGGATGCATATTCAGGTTAAGTGCGTGGTGATGACGTGGTGATGACGTGGGTAGTGTGTCACGGAAATGTACGGGGAATGGGGAGGGAAGGGAAGGGGGGGGGGGAGGGAGGGGAGAGAGAAAAAGAAGGGGTGTCGGTGGTGGGAGGGTCGCCGCGCTGTCCTGTGCGTCCTCCCTCCCTCGACTTGAAAGGCGGTCGTCTTATCTCTTCATGCGAAGATCTTCATATCCCCAGCCGGAGGCGGGTTTTGCACGTCCTGCATGGCTCCGAGCACAGGTATATAGGTGTCGTACGTGAAATCCCGTACAGGCTGTTTGGAGGGCCATAGGCTGAGCTGAGCCGGGCGCATCAAGAGAAAGGCGAGAGGATTGAGAGAAAAGAAAGGTGAAGGAAAGCCCTCCGTCGTCGAGTTGCCTGGTCGGGGTCCGGAATTTCGAGGCTACAACGACGTCATCAGGGCGTTGCGGCGCTATGAAGTCTCTATCTTTTTAGCTGGTGTGTATATGGTCGGTTCGACGTCTTTGGTAATATGTTTGGTAATGTTATCGGTGCTGGTGGTGCTGGTGGCGACATTTTTTAATCCTCTTTGGGAGCACTTTATCCTTTTTGGAAGGCACGTCTTACACGGCAGGCAGGCACAGGAAGAGGTGGGGAACGAGCGAGGGAGTGTGAAGGTGCAGCGACCGCTGACCCGCTGACCCACTGACAGTGCATATGCCTTTATGACCATGATCTGCACAGGCGGCAGCGATGTGGTATGCGGGTTGTACAGCACAGGGATTGATTGTCCATGCGTGATGAAGTCCACTTCAGGTTCCGGAGACTGGGCTGCGTGGTCATAACCGGCTGACAACACCCTTTGGATCTGCTTCTCGTCTAGTAGACGACGTGGCCGAAGGGCCAACCAACCAACTAACGGGCTTGTAAGGCGCCTCTGTACACAAATGGCATCTCGAGTACTTATAGGGCGAGACGCATGATATGGTGGAAGCAAGGCCGGGGGACACAATACTTTGCACGCTTTGCATGAGGCCCGGTTCCGCACGCTGTCCCAAGCCATACTGCTCTTGTGTGCTCTTCTTGATCTCTCTCTTGATCTTTGAGTTACAAGTGTTCTGTTGACAGCTCCTCGAGGAAGCGTCCTCGAGGAAGATGTCATAAAAGGGAGTTTCCACGTTTCATTTGGTCCGTGGGAAAATTCGCGTACATGTCCACGTGGTCGCGGAAACGCATAGCCCAGTCCGGATTAGATAGGGTTGGTCACCACGCGCTTTGTGATGCTCGAGTGGGCCCAGGTGTTTCGATGCGCATACAAGCAGTAAGGGGGGGGGAGCTGTGACTGCGGCTGTGACTCGGGTGTATGTATGATTGTGGGTGTGTTGCGGGGGTTGAGGGATGGGAAGGTTGCTGCGAAGCGAGTAATTTAGCCATATGGGTCAATGAGTAGAGAGTCTATTTGGCACGGGCATGTCTGTTTTTTGGTTGTTGCTGATTCACCCGAGTGAATAAAGTCTTAAAAACAGAATCATCGCAAGGAGGTGCTGGCAGTTTCCGAGAGAGCTGGCGGACCGGTAGCATGAGGGTCATCGGCATCGGCATCGGGCGGGGCCGGGGCTCCGTCAGCTCGCGTGGTTTCTGCGAAGGGAAAGGGAGCGGCATCCACGGCATTATCAGCGCTTTGGATGCTGCTTGGGTGTAGAAGTAGGGGACGTGGAAGTGGGCGTAGGAGCGCATGCTGGGTGGGGATGTCTGCTGTGGGGAGGAAGTGTTGGAAATCGCGCGGGCTAGGCAACATTTTTAATAATGGACGCTGAGATTGACGCTGGAATTCCCAGTCTGTGCGCTCGCGCGGCCAAGTCCTTGGGACGGAACGCTTGAAAGGCTTAATAGGCAAAGCCAACTTCAGGAGCACAAGCACCAAAGCCGCATCAAATGGGGTTTGTGGTCGGAGCACTGCTTACAAGCGCAATATGGCTCAGAAGTAGTGCAGTGGAAAATGCTTGAGCAGAAATGAATGCCCGGCTTACGGCGTAGTTATAACACCGGTTCACGGCTTCCTTAGCACAGACCGTGTCAAGTTGGTATGTCGCTTATCCGGCCATCATGTCTACAAAGCTAACAGTTTTTGTACAGGTTTCCCAACAGATAACTGGTGTTCGCGCAGTTTCCCTTGCCGTAGCTTGCAAAACCTTTGATGTACATCAGCACGGGATGCGGACAACGTATTGTAGCTGAAAGGCCTCTTGCAACATATTCTATACCTGCCCTAAGTTCAGAAGTAAAAGAACCTGATGCTTGCAAATTGCAATGCTTAAGTCCACTCAGTGCGTCTGGGTAACGCCTGAAGGCTCCATCATCGGCTCTTCAAAAATCTACGGAAATCTGCAGGGGAGGCTAACAAAGGAGAACGTGCGATCTGGGACTCCAGCTGTGTAAGTTGGGGCCTTCCAAGGATGCGCTTGCCTTTTGTTGTTCGGGTGCTGCAAACCCTAATCGGACCCGTTGTGAAGCACAATTTAGCAGAGATTAGCGATAACACTTAATCTTTCGGTTTGGAAGTTCATTTGGCAGTGATCACCAGGGCACACGCTTCGGAATGCCCGCTCAGCTCCGCCCCGCGCTCCGAAAGGCACGCATCCTGGGTAGTTGAAACTGATTCTTCCAATTTCAGAATTCTGGGCATGCCATCCTTCAATACTATTCTTAGGCCAAGTATATCGAAAGCCGTGAATGCATGACTCACACTCCCCTCCGTGTTTTGAGTTTTGCAGGGGCTCGGTCTTCAGGAAGGCAGCATACTATTTTCATAAGGACCTATGGACCATCGTCTACAATGAGGAAAAGCGGAAGGCACGCTGTCTAAGGGCGGAGTCCAATACGTGGTGAGTGATTCGCATCCATGGGAAGTAGATTTCTCGTGCATCATGGCGGTCAGCCGAACGACTCGCCATGAGACTGACCTATCAAACAATTGACGAGTTGCCCTTTATGCCACGAACAGGAGGCTATTCCCAACATCTCAAGAGCTTCCATACTGTGAGTCGTTGCAGCTGGACAGGTCTGAGGATCTTGAGGAAGATGGTTCTGAGGAATGGGGCGATTTTGTTTCGGCCTCATCTCCGTTCAATAACCACGACTGGGCAACGGGCTCCTTCACCACCTTCCGCGAGGCCGACAACACCTCAACCTGCCCATGCTTCCGGACTCCAACGACGCCAATAGCGTCGACATCGCGCCGCAGCGAAACCTGGTCCCCGCTGCTTAACACCGGCGCTTCCCCCACCACTTCTCCAACGGGATCCTTGAAGTCCATCACTCCCTTGAGTTCCCACGGTTTCCTCGCTGAGCCCCGCGACGGCAATGATTCTTCTTTCCTGACTACTTCGCCAACTGCCAGCACCGGCGTTCGGCTTACTATTGATGCCAGCATCCGTCAGCAACGGCTCCAAGAAGACTTCACAAGGGCGGCCCTGCGCACGGCGCAGACTCCGCGTCGCATCCGTAATGCCGATGACGTCCCTGTGTGCGCAATCACCATTTCATCCGGGGCCAATCAAGCTGTGTGTTACGTGAGGAGCCTCCTAGCAAACATGCATGGCCGGGTTGGGCCTCAGCAACACCAGCAACAGCATCAGGCGACAGGGCAGCAGGAGTACCAAGGACAGCCGCAGCAGCACAAGCACCAGCGACGGGAACAACCGCAACCGGCTTCATCGTCGGCTGTCGGCTGTCGGCTGTCGGCTGCGGCGGCTGGTCAAAACCCCGGGACCACAACAGCTGGCACCGCCATGGCCACACCATTTTCGGCAGCCACGTCACGAGCGCTATCGACCTGCCTATCAGAGCTAGTCCCGCCAAATCACGACTACCCCCACTTTCCCCACCACCACCGACCACAGCCCGCTAACCTGCAACGGTACAATGGCAGACGACTAGCACTTAGAGAGGCTTCCGATATCCCCGCAGTTGAAGCCGCCTCATGGTATGCCTCAGGCCCCGCTGGCGGCGGCGGCGGCGGCGGCGGCCCATCACCTCCTTCCCCGCTAATGCCGGTCTCCGGACCGAGGAGACCTGCTGCTACAGCTACGGGCCTGCTGCAAGAGGCTCGGAGGAGCCCCTCCCTGCGGCGGTTCCCTTGGGAGGCGCGGGAAATGGAGGGTGATAAGACGCAGGAAGGGGCTACGCTGGATGATGTACGGCGGGAAAATCGCCGTGTCGTCCTGCAGGCCAGCCTCAGCGGCCCGGGAGTGTGGTGCTGAGGGGGATGGGAGGTAAGGGGTGTTCGGGGTTTTTAAGCTGGCCTCTTCGTCGGATTCCGCTGTTGGCTTCTTATGTCGCTGTTCTAGAAGATGGTGTCGCTTGGCTTGCCGCAGTGCGGCTTGGGTTGATGGATAATGCTATGTAGTTTGTTGATGTTAATGCTAAATCTGATGGGGCGATGGAAACGGTGGTGGCGGGTTGGAGAAGTGTTTTGGCGGAGTTGGAATGACGGGAATACCTGGAGATGATGATAGGTCGGAACTTGACTGCGCACTGTTTTGAGCTCCATCGGGGAGTGTGACTTTGTGCCGTTCTTAGTGTGGGGATATACAGCTTCACTGAGGACGTAACACAGTAGTGATGTTAAGGTCTAACAGCCTAACGAACTGCAGCTTTGCGCCCTGCGTGTGGCAGTGTGTTCGCTTGGGGGAAAAAGCTGTGAGGGCAGATTTTTAACATGTAAACATTTAGGACTTAAGAGGTCGGAACGTTGCAAATCCTCTGCTATGTGTTGCATCCCTGGCCATGCTACGATTACGGAGGGAAGCAGGTCTAGTTAGCTTTGTGTCATGTTTTGTAGGGATGGCTGTGTGATGCTCGGGCTAGGCAGGTGGACAAGTTTATTTTTGTTGTTCAGCACGGCGCAGGCGCCACGCGTGCATATTCGGAGGTTAGATCATCATATATCCCGTATACTATACCTCGTATGGGGTATAGTTTGTGCGCCGCAGGTGTTTTACCGCTATCTCCTCCGCCAATTGAATATATCACACGTAATCACACACATCTTCGGGTCTGGCCGCAGCCGCCACAAAATTGCCGAACGGCGCTTTTTCACGGGTCCACTGGATTACGGTGGACTCAAAAGTGCGTTTCTGTTTTCGGCTTCGTTTCAGACACTCTCTTCACGTACTTTATTCGCTCGTGTCTGCACAGGAGGTGCTGAAACCCCACTTCGCAGGTACGAAGGACGGGGTCGACACCAAACGTTTGCGCGTATATAATTGTGCTTGTGCACATGTGTGTGTGTATGCAAGCGAAAGTTTGTGTTGGTGTGAAGCATGATAAGGGGTCGCAATCCCAACTTATTTGGGGATGATTTTTTCTAATATTAAGTAGGAGTTTTCTGTACGGCAGGTCCTTTTACGATCACAATTTCCTAGGTAGCTGTGTTGTCATTAGGATTAGTGAAAATCCTGCATCGTTGAGATGCGGTATCGAATGATGAATGGATGCGATGGCATCACGAACGTGTGAAGGGGGCGCAGTCCGAGATGTTCTTGGTGCGGCCATATCCCAAGCTGCGGGCGCAATCTTGACACGTAGCTATCGCGGGAGCATGTTAAGAGGAGTTCAAGAGGGTGAATTATGTGTCTGCAGGAAGGTGCAGTTTGGCGATCTAGCAGGTCTAGAGGTTGTAAGATGGGCTATAGATGGCGCTAGGGTGGCCTTATTAAGCGTTCGTAGGTTGCGTTTGACTGTTAGGTTTTTTAGAGTTTTTAGCGGAGTTGTTTATCGAAATAGGGTTAACAGGCAAGGGGTATTCGTCGATGGATTCAGCCAAGGGGGTAGACTGGCGAAGGGATTCCTCTGGTTCATAGGTATTATGACTAGAGTCGTAACCTTCCCATTTAATCAAATACTCTCGACGTGTCTTTCCACGTCGTCCTCGGACTGAAACATTGCGATGGTCGACAATGGCTTCGACCATAAAATACGGCTCACCCTCAATGACGAGTGGCGCCGGTGGCTGTCGCTTTACGTCGTCTTTGTACAATTTTAACAAAGAGACGTGGAAGACCGGGTGTAGGCGGGAGGCCGCCGGTAAGTCCAGTTTTACCGCAGCTTCGCCCACGCGAGCGACAACCGTGTATGGGCCGATGAACTTGGGCATCAGCTTCTTGGTTCCAGAGGTTTTTAGTGTAATATTTTTGGTACTTAACAGAACTTTCTGCCCAACCTCGTAACGCACTGGACGCCTATGCATGTCGGCGTCGTCCTTTTGGACTTGTTGCGCAGCCAAGAGACACTTTTTAGCTTTGCTTATACGCTCGCGAAGCATCGCTTCTTGCTTCTGAGCGGCAGGCACCTTGGTGTTTAGGTAAGGTCAACCGGAACACGTGGTTGCCGAACACCATTCAGGGAAAAGGGCCCGTTGCCTTCTGTTTTGAGTTGTTTATGGCAAACTCAATCAGTGGCAAATGCTCATCCCAATCATCTTGAGTGGGTGATATGTAGTGCCTTAGTGTCTCTTCCAGAACGCGATTCATGCGTTCCGTTTGCCCGTCTGTTTGGGGGTGAAAAGCTGTGCTCATATAGAGGTGGGTGCCCAACAGGCGAAATGTTTCCTTCCAGAAATTGCTTATGAAGCGAGAGTCCCGGTCTGAAATAATGTTCTTTGGAAGGCCGTGCTGCCTGAAGACGGTAGCCACAAAGGGGCGGGCTACATCTTCAGCTGTAGCGGTTGTGTGTGTGGGAGCAAAGTGCGTCATTTTGCTCAGCCGGTCCACGAACACTACAATCGCATCGTGCCCATTGCGGGATGTCAGTAGCTGCGTAACCAAATCCATTGTCACGCTTTCCCACACCTCCGTTGGAATGGGAAGGGGCTGCAGTAATCCACCCGGCTTAGCATTTGTTGCTTTGTTACGCTGACAATGAGGGCATGCTTTGACGTGTTCTTTAACGTCTGAGTCAAGCCCTGGCCACCAATATGTTTGTGCGATCGCTTGTTTGGTGCGGTCAATACCGCGGTGGCCTGCGTAGGGGACATCATGATACTCTGTCAAGATGTCTCTTCGCAGTTCAGCGTTGTGAGGAACATAGAGCTGGTTTCCCCGATACCAGAATCCATTCCTTCGTTTTAACTGCAGCTTGGCTACCTTATTTTTAGCAAGGTTCGGATCACCGTCGTACCCGCTTTTGATTCGGTGTCCCAAGTCGCCGTCCGCCAGCGAGGCCGTGAGCACATTAAGCACCGTGTCGTGAACCCGACTAATAGGGTCTGCGACATTAATCCGTCCGGGTCAGTACTCCCAAGTGAACTGGAATCGAGACAATCGTTCCAACCATCGAGCTTGCCTTCTGGAAAGTTTATCAGCGCTTTTCTGCTCTTGCAGATAGACCAAAGGTTGATGGTCCGTTACTAGGGTGACATGACTCGCACCTTCCAAGTAACAACGCCATTCTTCCATTGCCAGGACTGTGCCCAAGCATTCTTGATCTGTAGTGGAATAATTGTATTCCGCGCTGCTGAATTTTGGACTTGTATAAGCAACTGGTCGGTCGTCTTGTAACAAGACAGCGCCAGTGCCATGCAGCGATGCATCAGACCAAACTACGAAGGGTTTGTCAAGCTCAGGGAGTTTTAATACTGGTGCGTTTGTCAAGGCATCTTTCACACCCTGAAAGGCAGTATCACACTCCTTTGTCCAGTGGAAGGGCACCTTCGCACTTGTTAGGGTTGTGCGGGGGGTAAAGGGGTAAAACGACCACCGGGGACAGCTTGAAAGTCCGCCGTGGCATATTCATGCTAGAAGCAACGCAATATGGTACGCTTGGAATGCGATGCTGGAGCGTTGTGGAGCGTTGCGCATCAAACAGTGCATCTACATTCTCAACTTCTAGGCCTCCACTATCCCTGCTAGCGGCTTATGTGCATGCATGCCAGCACAATGCGCATTTGGGCTAACATATAAACGGTGAAGCGCTGTGGATATGCGGTGGCGCTTGTTCATTGCAACAATCACCCGCCTAGCCATCGCAAACTCGCAAATACATGTAACGAAGCCTTCTTCATTGGATCCCAGTTCGGCCCGCTGCACAGTTTGCGCCATTAAAGAGATGAGATAACCGGTAACGGGCAGATATGTACATGCGGCGGGAAGGACGACGGCCCATCGTCCTCTATTTGCAGACCACCACCATCGCTGGCCAAACGTTCGTGATGAACACAGCTTTTCCTCAATCAATTCAAGCCAAAACCTCGAAATGTCACGGTCCGGAAGATACACGAGAGAAATACCCCCCCGCTCTACCTAAATACCCCGTTAGCTGGACTAATGATAGACGCTGTGTCCTGTGTATACCCGAGATCTCCCATCACCCAGGACGAGAACGACCACACCTCCACGGCCTGTGCCCTGTGCCACTCAACACAGGTTGAGGACCGCGGCGCCAGCACCGCGCGCCGACTCCTGCTGCCGGCAGGCCTCGCCCGCTTCCCAACCCACCTACTGCACACGGAAATCTCGTTGAGCAGCCCAACTAAAGAAAAAGAATAAAAAAACCGCAAAACAACTTAGCTGGTAGCTGCTGGGTCCAACAAGTCCCCTTCGCGCACGCTTCCCGCAATATATTCCCACTCGAGTATAAACCCGCTAGGATGTCCCGCTCCACTTCCTCTCGCTGTATTGACGCACATACACCCCAAACCCAAGAAGCAGCTTCACCGTCATTGCGTGCGCGTGTCTCTACCTCTTTCCCATGGGAATCCCAAGCTGCTCGCCAACATGCCCCGCCGTCCGAAATACAGCAAAATGACTTGACTAACTGTCCAGCCTCCCGATCATCATAATCATCATCATCATCATTATCATCATTATCAGCAGTAGCAGTAGTAGCAGCAGCAGCAGCAGCGCACGCGCACGAGAGAGGAGCTGCGCCGCGAGTCCCTGAAAGGCGACCGCCTCTGCCAACCACAACGTCCTCTCTAATACCCAACAGAATCCTCTTTAATACCCCAAAGATGTGCACCAGTTTTGCCCTTCTATGCAACTTCCTGTAATCGTGGCCGCATGCCCGCACGTCCCAAAGCATCGCCATTTGCGACATTGCCCTAAGCTCCCTGACCGGACCCCAGCCCCCAGCTGCGGCTACAACACACGCTGGAGCCTCCAGAAGCAATGCGCGACTATCAACTACGAACGTCTTGACGTTACTGGGGAGGCTGCTGGTACTGCCCGATTCCTGTCATGTAACCCTGATACTGCTGCTGTTG